TCATATGAATTTTCACCAATTTCATGAGGATAATTAGTTAAATATTAAAAACTAAATAGTAATTTTTTTAAAGATAGTATCAAGTGTGAGGGATACATAATTGAATATGAAACAAAGGTCGATAGTCAGGAGTAACTTTTTAAGTAGCTTTTAATTTTTTTACTATACTATTTTTTATAGTATTCAGTAACATAATATTTGAATTAGCTTTTAGAAATTAAGATAATATTTTATAAAAAATTCTTTTATAATATTTAATTTTTAAAAAATACTACTTAAACAGTAAAATAATTAATTTTGACGGACGGATACTTAATTTGCAGATCATAGGAGCTTCATTGACTTCTTTTATAAAAAGGAAATGTGCAACACTATTTGCACCCACTGGAAAAAATTCCTGGCATTGGGTAAACTAAAAAGGACTAAGCCAACATTAAAATAAAAAAATCGCGAGGAAAATCTTCCTCCCTGACAAATGTCACTTTCATTGGAGTTTCTTTTGGACTCGTGTCTCCCATTTGCCACATAACACCAATTTCGTCAACTTTTACCGATTACTTCTTTTTTTATTATTATTATTTTGTAATCTTGAATAATATGTGTGTTTGAAATTTTGTTCTTCAGATGTTCTTTTCTCTTACCACCCGCGCTCTGGTATAGTGGGCGGAAGACCGTAACACTACTATCTTGTATAAAAAAGGCAACGTTTTTTTTAATATTTGGGATTCGATTTACTTTATTAGGTGTCTTAAATCAGGATATTAACACTTAATCGTCTGAATCGACGGAGCAATGACTTATACATCTAGTAAATTTCTTTTTTTCGGTAACAGATTTTTTTCTTTTGGTCAAACCTCAATTACATAATTCTCTTTATTAATTTGAAATTATAAATAATATTCTAGCTTGTATTGTTTATAAATTTAATTAAAATAAAACAAGAGATAAATGTATTTAATTGTTTACTATTTTATTTGTATTTTATCCTATAGTGAATTTTAGAGTGTTTAATATTAGTGCTTGTGTTGTGTGATGGTATCTGTTGAATTGTAAGTACCATAAAATCAAAATGAGAAACTATCAAAAAAAAAAAAAAAAAAAAAAAAATCGACGGGAGCAATGACTTATACATCTAGTAAATTTCTTTTTTTCGGTAACCAGATTTTTTTCTTGTTGGTCAAACCTCAATTACATAATTCCTTTATTAATTGAAGATTATAAAATAATATTCTAGCTGTATTGTTTCATAAAATTTAATTTAAAATAAACAAGAGATAAATTGTAATTTAATTGTTTTTACTATTATTTGTATTTTATCCTATAGTGATTTTACGAGTGTTTAATATTAGTGTTGTGTTGTGTGTGATGGCGTATCTGTTTGAATTGTAAGTACATAAAATCAAAATGAGAAAACTATCAAAAAAAAAAAAAAAAAAAAAAAAAAAAAAAAAAAAAAAAAAAAAAAAAAGAGAAAGAAAAATAGAGAGATGATTTCTTGAATGAAAACAAAATTAGGAAGTTGCCAAGCAAGCACTTAATATGTTGTTTGTTTGTACTCTTGGTTTTATTTTTATTTTTTGAATAATTTTTTTTGTGGGGACCATAATAATAGTATGCCCTAAAAACAACTTTGGATGGTGGAAAAGGCACTTTCAGGACTTTGATTTGGCTTTTATTGCTTCATACAGAGCAAAGAAGAGGTTTGTGGTGGTGATTTTCCATATTTGGCAAATTGATGGTGTCTCTCTATCATCTTTTATTTCTTTTTCTATTCTATTCATTCTCATGTAGGATTTGGCCAAAATCTAGAGATGAGAAATATTTTGGTTTTTAATCTAAAATCGAATCAAATCGATTTATTTTGAACAGATTCAATAAGAATTTAATAAAATTTAATCACCACTTGAAAGTAAAACTGTTTAATTTTCCATCTCTAGTTCAGTTATTATATACAATTAATCGAATTTACTTTTATGTTTTATTTGATTTGAAATGACTGAAATCCAAATTGAGTTGAACCGGTCTAATTCAATCTTTATACTATCTGATAGTTGGTATTTTTATAGTATTTTTAATATAGTTTTATTAGAATTTTTAGTATTTTTTAATTACTTTAATTAGTTTTTATTTATATTTTTGTTTTAAGCTTTCTTAAATCATATTTCACTTGATTTTGAGGAATTTTGCAGGATTTTTACAGGAAACCAGCTTATTTCCTATCTAGGCACTAGGAGAGTCCTAATTGGGAAGAAATACAAAGCCTAAACAGTTTTCGATCTCTAAAAGATTTCTTACTCGATAAAGATTCACTTTCCTAAACGAACACGATTAGGTGATCTCCCAAAAGAGTAGTATATTACACGAAAATATTCCAGAAAGTCTATATAAATAGAGAGACTAGCCATAGTCAAGGGAACCATTCATTGTATATTCCATCTTTTGTTCTATTGTTTTCTTTCTCCAAGATTTCAAGTATTCAAGATTTGTGTCAAGATTCAAGGAAGTCGTCCAAGCCAATCATTAACTAGTTTTTATTTCTAAACTCTTTTCTTCTTCTATTTTCAATATTCATGTTAATTATGAGAATATTTACAAGTTTAATGAAGTTTTATTTAATTAATATGTTGAACTAAAACTCTCATACTAGGGATTTGACGTAACTTAATTTTGATTCCAATTTATAATATTAGATTTGCTATTAGATTTTGCTTTTCCTTGTTCATGATATATAAATTGTGTATCATTATTGGAAAGACCTCGCACTCGCTGTTTGCCCAGAGTTGGATAGATGCTTCTATGTCTCTGTGAGTAGTTGAGTATCTTATCTGTATGTGATCCATCACTCATGCCGAAATCGCATGTTGGGTAGAAGTTTATTGTACGATTGACTCATTAGAATAGGGGTCACTCCACGATATTGAGATCCACATGCGGAGTAATAGAAACTGTGTGTAGTAGCCATTAATCACTATCGGGAGAAGGGTTTTTTGATATGAATAGGTAATAAATTACATGAGAATAAAAACTTGATGCGGAAGCTATATGGTTTGACTCAGGGTTTTCATAAGTTAATGATATTAGATTATGAATTCATAAACAAATCATAAAACTTAATAATTTAATTCATGTTTGATTGCGCTATTGAAGATAGGTAATTAGACCGAGTTAAAATAGCTAACAATACATAGGGAGATAGCTTGTTAGTGATTTTAGTATTGTTTCTCCTACTTAAACAATTAAAATTGATTATCAAACTAATAAAATAAATTGGATAGAATTAAGTGAAGTCAAAATCTCTAGTAGCTTTGAATCTTGATTTCTTTTTGTTCTCTTTATTTGTTTAATTTAACTTTTTAAAATAATCCCCTTATTACAGTTTAAATAATAATAAGTTAATATAATTTTGATACTTGGTATACAATCCATGTGGATACGATATTTTACTCATTCTATATTACTTGTTGCGATTTCGTAAATTACAAAAATAACTGTCACTATCCTATTTCGAATTCAGTTGCAGTACAAACACATTCGCTTAGACTGAATTGAGATTATTATTTATTTTGATTTGGTTTGGTTAACTGCATACTCGCTCCTACTTAAACCAAAAAGAAGATTATAATATATGCGAAGAAAATAAAGTGTTTTTTTTATTAATCAATGTCGGATTCAATTAAAGTTTTTCAAAATATCAAGAATGTGACCTTAAAATTATTGAGTGAAAAAAATTCAGTTTCGATGCAAGTTAAATTAGCTCGAAAATGTCTTTTAACTGTAGAAAAAGAAAAAGGAAACAAAATGCGTTCTTATGGTTCGACTAAATAATAAATACTGTTATTGAATTATCATAATTTAAACCTTATTGTGGTTTGAAATAAATCTTGGAATTTTTTCTTAGGATGTCTCAATGGTTTTGAATTGGACAATAGAATTTAATATTTCTTGTCCAACTATCTGCTCTTGTCTTGTCCAATGCTCAATATTCTTGTAAGGGGGACCTAACCTATCTCAATCCTCTTGCTAATTCTCCAAATTATTTAAGTCTCTCTTTTATATTATAAGAGATGAGAAATTCAAATTTGAAATTTTTAAAGAGGTGGGTACCAAAACTCTTACCAGCCAATCTTAGCTAAGCTTTAAAAACAAAAAAAAAAAAAAAAAAAAAAAAAAAAAAAAAAAAAATCAATTTTGTGGATTAGAGTGTCAATGGATTCACATCCTTTCTTTCTTCCCACATTTTTTCAGTTTTTAGCAAGTGTTCATCGGACACCACACCCACAATGTTTTTTAAGTGTTTATAAATGATCAGAGACCAATAGGCTGTTGAATATTTGTCTTAAAAACACATGTGTGTAACTTTCATTCTCACTGTCCACTTTATACTTAAGTTATTTTGGATTTGATTCCAATTCTTATCTTGCTTGTGTATCGATAAAGCGTATATATCGTAGATGCAAAAAAAAAAAAAAAAAAAAAAAAAAAAAAAAAAAAAATCAATTTGTGGATTGAGTGTCAATGATTCACATCTTTCTCCACATTTTTTCAGTTTTACAAGTGTTCATGACACCAACACCCACATTTTTTAAGTTTTATAAATGATCAAGAGACCAATGCCCTGTTGAAATGTCTTAAAAAACATGTCATGTAACTTCATTCTCACTCCACTTGTATACTAGTTATTTTGGATTTGATTCCAATTCTTATCTTGCTTTGCTGGTAAAACTACCTATGTGGGCTTAGTAGGCCCATTATTGTCTCTTGAAGATTTGGCAGACATTGATTGTGCCTTCAACTGAGGATTAAAAAAAAAAAAAAAACAGAAATTAAACCTTGTCAAATATGCAATTTCAGAAATAAAATTTAAGCCGACAGTGATGCACTAATAAATAAATTCTCTTTGGAATATGGCCTTGAACATAATTTATAATTTTTCCAAACCCAATACTAGAACAATTTTTGAAGACTTATTGCTTTACTTGTTTGCAACTGGGGTGAAAGAATGTGGTAAAAAAATATTTATCTACTAGCCTTGCATTCAAAAGCCCAAGTTACAATTACAACACACAATGAAGAGGTGATATAACCTTGACTTCCCTTGTCAAATTCTATTTTAAATACCAAAATGGAAAGCAAGAAAATTTGAACACTGCACTTTTACTAAATATTTTGCTGCTCATTATTTGGGGCTTACCAGAAAATCTTCATTCTGGCGATCTTAAACAGCCCCCAGGAAGAAGAAACCTAAACTTATCTGCATTCTCTATCAAATATGATGGAAGATGAACGGCAGAAGCTGATCGGGGTATTGAACCCATCTTCTTAATCAACTCCTGAAATGTGTACTCCTCTGGAAGCATATCAAATAGATCATCCCCACTGCAAATGAGTTTCTGAATCCTAGAGTAGTCTAGAAAATCATTTCTTTTAACTCTGTCTGCGTGGCTATAAGCAGTCATCTTAAACACAATTTCCTGAAGTCGTCGAAAGCAAAAGCTACAATGCCATCCAGCATCAGAAAAGATAATGTCAGTTTGGCGTGAATGCCTGTATCTGGTCCAAGGACCATAAATGTGGATTGTGGCACGCCAACTACTGTAATCTACAGGGAACTCAAATGAGTACATGTAGTGCCTTAGCTCTAGATGCATGACAGGAGGTATTCCATCACACCACTGTAGTAGTTTCACAGTGTGTGGGCTTGGAATCTCATCTGTGTCTGACATAATAAGCAAGTCACCGTTTGAAATCCCTGCACGGAGCAACAAACCATTCATAGCTGCCCGTTGCTCTGACTCCTGCACAAAAGGGTCTTCATATGATCCATGGGGAGCAGTGCGGCCTGAAAATACACCATGGACAATCTTGTCCTCAGCAAATGCATACCGGCCTGGGTTCGAGGCAAAGGACAGGGGTTTAGGAATGCCTGTGAAAGTGGTGTTGGACTCGAGGATTACAAATTTAGTAATGTAGGGATGAAGATCACGCCATCTGATCTCAAGAAGGTCTACCTCATTGCTGAAGATGATGCCATCAAAAACACGGCGGGGCTCAGCACGTAGGGACCAACCATGAAGGTTACAAAGATGTTCCATTGAAACATTCTCTGCATAATAGTGAGGCAGGTGCTTGAAGGGAGGAGGGGGGTTGTCCCAAAGTGGGCGGAAAAAGTACGAGATTTTCTGAGCATGTGTGAAAATTCCAATCACACAAATTGGTACAAGTATTAGGAGTACAATAAAAATAAACCTGCGAGGCGCTCTTTTTGAGGTCGAGCGAAGTCGAGGGGCCATACTTGAGAATAGAAAGATCGAAGCAGAGTTGCTCGCATGTTAGTCAATTTACCCCACGAATCACAATTCAAATCATATTAATCACCTGCATAATATTCAGCAGTCAATTAAATACAGTAAAATGTAGATCAATGTAATGTCAAGGACCTTGACTGCAAAAGACAAATTTATTAAGCAAATTCCAAACTTTTAAGTTCTCTTCTTGTAAAGCATAAATTCAATACAAGGGTTTTTAAATGCAGCATTTGATAAATTCCATAATAGTTCTAACATGCATGCACGGTTTTGAAATTCTGTTAGGTGTTCACAGAGCTCCATTGACTTATTTAACTTGCTGTAATTGTGGGACACAAACAGAACCAAGCTATAGAGCCAAAGGAAGTGAAGCATAAATTTTAGATAAATATAAAGCCACGTAATCCTGAAAGTTAATTAATTTCTCATTACAGAAACTGATGAAATCCCTATATGATAATGAGACAGATAACCATTGAGTGAAGCCAAACAACAAATATAACTCATGCAAGTGCTTTCCTTCAATTAATTTGGTGGGGAAGCAGAAAATATTTGCCGTAGTAGCTATAAATCTATAATGGTAGCTTACACATTTCGAAGAAAATGGGCATGAAAACACGATATTTGCCATAGGAATATACATATTCAACACTGGAGGTGAATGTCGATTATACTCTTTTTATGACAAATCATCACTATCAACTATTCCAAGGGCTAATTACTCTTTTGGCGTTTTTGCAAGTTTAGGCCAAGCAACCAAGCAACTGTTAAGTACACAACACATGCATGATATAATACATTGTCATAAATGCTAAAATCAACCAGGTTGTCCATATCTTGTAAGTAACTCATACAACATATCAAATAAAACAACAGAGCACATAATAACCTTAGCCAAAAGCAAATAAATGTAACATAGTAACAGGGGAAAGAATGTTATTCATGTAAACCTGGTCATTTATAAACCGCATCGAGCTGACATCAAAAGACTTGAACTAGATAATCTACATGCAGGAATCCAAGCAGACAGAAAACTGTGTCATTGTTGATTGACAGACTCATGGTCCCTTTTCCCTGGCAGTTAGTTGGCAGGAGTAAATATGTAGCATTAATAGTTATCAAGGTCAACTAAACTGAATGTAAGGCAATTCATGCTTTTCAAAAATTCTCCTCTCGCAAGCCAGCTAAATTACCTGAAGATTAGAATATAGTTCCTGAATGGAAAAGCCAATTTTATTAGACTACCCAAGGCCGATAATAGATTATGAGCAGAAGAAAGTAAAAAAGTTTTGCACATGGCGTGAAACGAGTCCATTTATGATAATATTTTGCTGAATCAGTATGCTATATTTAAATAAAACATTGATATTCCAAATAAAATAAAATAAAATAAAACCTTCAACTAGGAGTCTAATAGCAAAATAATATTTCTTTTAATTGCAATTCAAAATATAATAATATAGAGTTGACTACGAAGCTATTGCATTAATTGGAGCTTAACACACCTAACAAAGAATGTTGGAATATAGAAATCTATTAACTCCTACAACATAGTATAAAAGAAGCATCTTTTATCACAATGAGCCACCAAAGTGTAAGTTGGTATAAATACACGCAATCAGACATTGTGGTCAAATAAACTGTTCATACCTCAGAAAATCCCATTATTATAAATTCCCAATGACGAGGAAATAAATTTCAAATACGTAACTTAAAATTAAAACAAACAGCTCCCAAATTTTCATTTTCCCAAAAAATAGAAAAGATCAAAACTTTACCACTTTGAAATTGTTTAAAGTCAATAGAAGTCCAGTATATTCTCAAATCAATTTAGTATTAATAGAACATTTGAATCCCTATTTTCGTTTACCCTTTTTTATAGTAGAAATTATATGAAATGATATAACTAATCAAAAAAATATTCAATATTTATTAAACTCATAATTACAGAAAGGAAAACCCTAATGTTTGTTTTGTAAAAGAAAAAATCTAAAGCACTCTAATCCATTGCAGATAAAATAAAACGACAGAACGAAACGAGGGAAAAAAACAGACAAAACAGGGAAGAGAATTCGAAATTCAAATTGCGACTAATCAATTTCAAAAGGAAAAAAAAAAAAAAAAGAAAATCAATAAGGAAACAAAGAGGAAAAAGGAAACCGAGGTAAATTATGAGAAAAAAAAGATTGAAATATCAAAAATAAAATACCTTAATGAAGGTTCAGGGGAAGAGAGATTAAACCCCTAATAAAGAATTACCGCCAGTTCAAGCACAATTACCATTGAATCCCGATCGCCATTTGCATTTGTAGAGAAACAGAGGCACTGGTTACCGTTTAAACTTTTTTGCCAGAAAGAGAGAGAAAGCTCTTTTATAGACAGAGAGAGACAAAAGAAACAAAGAACATGCCATGACGGAGGGAGGACCGAAGAGGGCGTGGAGGAGCGATCCTCTGCGGTCAAATAGTTAACTACAAATTCAGAAAGCAAACGTGGAGAATTTCTATTAGGTGAAATTGTTAAATTTATGTGGGGGGAGATGTAGACGACTAACATGCAGGCGAGGGCGCGAGGCGATAAAACTGATATGATGATGTGGCGATTATTAAAAGATTAAAATAAGGAGTTTGAGGAAGTAAAGGACAAGAACAATAGGGTCCAAATGAAAAACGACTCTTGAGTTGAGTATAAGCGCTGACTTCAATAAGGACCATGACGTGGCAACATTAATTTGGTCCCATTTTTGTATCAAATGCTAGAGTATAATATTGTTTCGAATAATCATATATTTAATATTCATATCTAACTTTTGGATTTAGTTTTAATGTTTCTGATAATCCTAGCTGGTTGTTTTGTTTAGATTTATGGTCTGTAGTTGATCATAGCCGTTTAACCTCAATTTTTTTTCTTTTTTTATATATATAAGTATTAACAATTTTTTTACTCCTCTCAAAAAAAAAAAAAAAATTTAAACCCAAAAAGATTAAATTGAAAAAAAAGGAAAAGACGCTAATAAGTAAATCAATAATTATTTTTGATTTTATATATTAGAGCATGGGTTTGATATTATTGATTCAACGCTTCCAAAATATAAAAATTCATAAAAGAAACAATTATAATCTTTTTCAAATTATATATACTTGTTTTAAAAAAATGAAATTGACCTCACTACTCTTATTTCTGGCTCTATTATTGACTTTTATCTATTTAATGTGACTTTAAATAATTATAAATGGATTTATGATGGATACAGACAGAGTATAAGAATAAATTTTCAGGTATTCATTATATTAAAAAATTTGCTCGTGGATATCCATGATATTCTCTATTAATAGTACCAAAAAAAATTATATTTTACCAAAAAATTACATAAACAGATATGACTCACTAACAATTTAAATAGCTTCAGTTACATATGTGGTTCAAAATTTTCGAATATGTACCACCAATTCAATATTGATTACCCAAATTGTATTTTTTAAGTATACTCTCATTTGTTTGAATTGTTATTTCCTTTGCTCCTCCATACTTGTTATATTTGAGTATTTTATTTCTCTTATGAAAATCATTTAATTTATTAAAATTATAATAAATTATTGAGTGAATTAACTGTCATATCCTTAACTTGTCTCCTTCACAATAAATTATTAAAGAATTGAAGCAATCATTATTGATCATATACAAAGGGTAAAGATTAAAAAAATAATTTATTACTATCTCCGTTCTTAAATACTTGTCACAATTGAAATTTCACATTTTTTAAAAAAACCATTAAATTTATCTAAATTACAATAAATTATTAAATAAATTCACTGTATTACTTTTAATTTAATATATTCAAACACCATATTTTTTAGGAATTGAAGCAATAATTATTCATCATAAAATGTAAAAAAAAATTATTACTGTTTAAAATCACAAATGTGATAAGTAATTTGGAACACAACACTTTCTCTAATGTGATAAGTATTTAGAAATAAAGGTAGTATCCTTGAAGTCCACAAATGTGACAAGTATTTGAAAACAATAAAAAATATTAAATTTTCTGAATGTATATACACTAAAAGTAAATAAGTCTATACTAGTTAGAAAAGTGAAAATGATTAATTTTTTATAATTAAATAAATGATGATAGTTATTATTCTCTCTGTTTCATTTTAATTACTACATTTTATCTTTTCACAGTGATTAAGAAAATGATGGAATATGTTGATTTTCTAAAAATATATGATAGAATCTCTAAATTGTACTTCTTAAAATTGAAATCTCTCCATTTAATTTTGCTACGACTAATAAATATAGGTAATATTGAAAAAAAAATTAATATGCTCTCAAAATCCTAAATGAGCATTTAAAGTAAAACAAGGTAAGTTGTTGCTATTAAAGTGAAACGGAGAGAGAGAGAGAGTAATAATTTAATAATGAAATACATGATTTGTGTTATTTCTATTGAGATCCAAAAAAAATTCAATTCTGATAATGTTACTTCTATCCATAAATATGAATCGTTTAAAGTCTTTCTATCCATAAATACAAATTGTTTAAGATTGTTACATGGTGATTAAAAAAGTAATTAATTTTTATAAATTATAAATTTTTTTTTTTTAAAGAATAAAAAGGAAAATTATAGATGGTTCCCATCCCGTCATATTTATACCATTAAAATATATTTTCTTTATTCACCTTTACCTAAATAAGCCATTAAGCCGTTGAGTTTAAAGAAGTTAATAAGGTTCCTTCAACCAAAATGAATCTTTACAAATTGGAATTAAACCGAATCGAGTTCTAAATTGAACCAAATTATCTTTAGCCTATGGGAGCAAGAGAGAAAATCATTTTCTCATCTCCTTCCCCTTTCTCTCAATGTCGATAGCCATCACTCCGTTTTTGTTTTGTTTTCGAACATATCATCATAGTTTCTGGTGATTTTATGCTCTATAGTTAAGTTCTCAATATGGAGATGAATATTTTGACCATAGATTGTTCGATTTCGGACTGTGTTTCATATAATCAAAGCTTGAAGCTTCGGCAACAGTTATGAGTTCCGACAAATCACACCGTTCCTGGCGAGTGTGGGTTGCAAGATGGGTCTCGATCGACTCTTGGCCACCTTTTGAGCATTTCCCCTTCATTGATTTGGGGATTGGCACCATGAATGTTAGTTGTGAGGTGGCCGTTGAGGCTATTTTTGACACGGTAGCTTACCAAGTCCATAAATTAATGATAGAAATAGACTCTCCGTATAATTTTGAGCAAGTAGAGATGAAAATTGAACAATTCCGGTGAATTTCGATTTTCCGCGATAATACTGGTTTCTAAATCTGCCGAACTTTTTTCCGGTGAACCTTTGTTAACTTGGTTTAGTTAGAGGCTTATAGATTATTGAGTTATAACTTATTCTCAAAAATATTTAAAAAATTATTTTTCAATAGTAGAAACATGATGGGAGGAGAACTATGTATAATTGTCCTTACAATAAAATAGTTATAAATTTAATCAAATTACCTTTAAAAATTATAAAAATAATTATTACATTTAGTATAAACAAGAGTAAAATTAAAATTATCATTAATTACTCCTTAATATCTTCAAAACAACTTATATTTATAGAGGAAGACAGTAGCTAACTAGCTTGTTGTCCATTTAACTAAATGTTACATACAGTCATTCAAAATTCAAACTATATATACCTTAGCTTAGATCGAGGAGAAACCCCTTACATGCATCTCTTATTTGATTTGGGTCTATTAATATTAATTAATTAAGCAGCTAATTATAGGTTTAATTAGCATATTACACAAAAGTTTGAGCCATCCAAAAAGCCTCGAACTCATGCATGTGAGTCACCCGCCGGCCGCTGCTCCTCTCCTCATCAATTTTAGGCGTTGGACCGAACGAATGAAACTTCTGCAAAATGTTAAAAAATTATATTAAAAAATCATAAATTTTTCCAAACCCAGAATTTTTTTTTTTAAACAAAAGGGCAGAAAATTTTATTGATATTAACCTCCAAGATACATCATCATCAGCCAGTAGCCAGTCACCTTCCCTGTCCTGGTAAGTCAGTTTATAGTTATCTGAATTTTCCTCACCTGTTAAAAAGTTAAAACTTCAAAAATTTTCATTAATTAAATATTTGAAATTGATTTTAGAATATACATATACTTACATATACCAAACATCTCAAACAAGGCTTGTTTAAGAGGTTGAAAAGAACTATAGATGCTAAGGTCAATTTTTCTTCCTATGGCTACTCCTTCCATCTTGACTTTGATATACATTGAGTTCGACGCTCTACCATAACAATCTACACACCCATTATCCACCGTCCGATTGCTGTCTACTCGACTATTTTGTCGCCGATGACTAATCTTTGTCCTCCGGAACTTAATCGGCGGCCACCCTACTATTCCATCACCTTCTCCTTCATCTCTGCCCAACCCAATAAGAAATAGTATTTCATAAAAATGAATTTTTTTTTTCAATTCTTAAAAAAAGAAAGAGACAGAGAGAAATCAGCAATAGTACCTGGCAAAAGGGAAAGTGTTATGAGGGCCATCGTCTTCATTAGGCTGGTTATTCCAATGCAAAAGAGGCAGAGTTCGAGGTTCCACTTCGTTCGGTATCTCCTCGAAGGCATCGCGAAAACTGCGTTTTGTGGTGGTGGTAAATAGCTGGCGGTTGGCAGCCGTGTCCTTAGGCTCGAAAGCGTAGCTATTTAGGTCAAAACCCTTAGTAGTAGTAGTATTGGTTGGAAGAGCGAGAGCAAGACCAAGTTGAAGCTCCATCATCATCATCATCATCCAACAAGAAGAAAACAAAGGATTTCCCAATAAATAAATACAGTAATGGGTTTTTGGGGTTAAGAGAGGATTTTGATGGTGGGTTCTCTGGGTTTGTTGTGGAGGCTGCGATGATGAAGGCTAGTTTATAATATAGTAAATAAGCTAAGAGGGGCCAAAGAGGGACAGAGAGACGGAGAAAGGGAAGTCCGGAGTGGGCGGGAAAGGCGACATGTAGGGAACAGTAGCCAAGGTGTCCGTATCAATGCCTCACTTTTAGCCGACCCGGTTGTCCCCCCTCCTCTCCTCTCTTTCCTTTTTCTGCTTTTTACACTCTTCTAATGCAATGCACGCGCCATCAATCCAAGCCCTTAATCCTACGCACGAGTGTGTACCTGCAATATCGACGGCTACACTCAACAAATATAATAGTAATTATTATATTTCTCCGGTGTTTTTTCAAATTTTTCATGTTTTATTGTATTAAAAATTAATTATTTTTTAACTTTATTATTGACAGTTAAAAATGAAATAAAGCCCAATTGGAGAAAATGATAACAACTCAGTAAATTGATATTTGAATATATACAACCTAAGTTAAAGGGTTTTTATAGATGAAAATGTAGCTTACGTGTAAATGTCCGAGTATAAAACACTGAGTTTATTATTAAACGGTTGACTCAGACATTGAAGATTAACCAAGCATTTCTGGATTCTCTGAATTTATAATGTTTAGATTTTTATTTATATATGTATGTCAACCTTCCTATGGTTATTTTTATTCACTGAGTTTATTTTAATTTTCAAAACATAGCATTTTCTCTTTTTATGTTTATTAGGGTTGCTTGACCTGAAATGATCAAAACATAATAAATTTTGATTACTGACTGAATTGAATCCATCACATTGAAAAACCAAAGTGAAATTCAACCAAAAAAATCGAACCATTTAGTTGGTTATTTTTGGCTTTGTCATTTATTATTGCCTATCAATTCTTAATTTTTGATATATTTTTACTAGATAAATATTAGTCATTTATAAAATTAATAAATATATAATTTAGTTGTTTATTTTTATCTTTTTCATAAAACAGAGACGGCCCAAATATTTCTTTTAATTTTTATTTATTCAAATAAAAAATCAAATTATTAATCAGATTGGTCTTCTCACTTGTGTGAGGAGTGAGAGGTCTCGAATTCAAGTTCTTTCAACCACAATTGTTTTCACAAATTTAGTGAGTCAAGGGAAAAGCTACCCCTTTCGGCCTATAAAAGCCACCAATGAATTAAAAAATAAAAAATAAATTGTGTAAACAGAGAAATACAAATAGTAAAATAAAAAAATTATTATTTTTTATTAAAAAATCGACAAAATATTAACAGGCAGAACAACCAAACTATGGAATTAGGGCATCTTGTAATATATGTATATATCCTTTAAGGTGAGAGATTGAAAAGGAATTTTTAGAAATTAGAGAGTTCAAATAAAAAAATTCGTAATTTGTATTAAAAAAATTTATTTGAGATGCAGAAATAGTGTAATAGCCAGTTTTCCTTGTTTCTTTTCTTTAATTTGAGGATGATAATTATTCTTTTTATTTTTAACAGTACCAAACAAAAACAAATATAAACACAAATTTTTACGATCTTATAAAGAAATTAATATTCTCTTTTAAGGATTTAAAAGAATTTTATATCTGTTGGGCATCAGCTCTGATACGTGAATAGTAGTATATGTAAATAGTGACCATAAATAGTAATAATATATTCGAATAGTAATTATACACGTGAATAGTACTATACTTGAATAGTGTTGGGCGTACTTGTTTCCTCAACAACAGTAACGCTAATAGTACTGTTCACATCAACTTTGAGTTACTATTTTACTATTTATCACTAAGTCGATTCTGCAACGTCTTTCCGAGCGGACAGCACTAATGGACTCGTCGTAATTTTCTCTTCATCGTGGTATATTTATTTTCAAAATATATCCACTGATCCGGTATCGCTATCTGACTGGCTGGATCTACCGAAACCTTCAGCTTTGATACCAATTGTTGGGCATCAGCTCTGATACCACTTGTTGGGCCTCAGGTACTACTTGCCTCAGCTCTAATACCACTCGTTTAGCCCTTTCAATTAATTAAGAGAAAATTAACGCAGCGGAAAAATAGAAATTCGACACATAGAAATTTACGTGGTTCACCCTTAACTGTTTAGGGTTACGTCAACGCGACAAATTCCGAATAATTCTTTCATTATTAAAAATAGTAGGTACACAGAGAGTAATACAAAAATAGTGGCACTCAAAGTGTTTTCCAAAAATATCCAATAATAATTTTCTCATTATTTTTCTCTCTCCTAGTTTTAGGAACCCTTCCTAGAACTAGATAACTCTCTACATTTTTTTTTCTTCTTCTGCTGTGTGTTGCTTGAGGCTTCACTACCTCTATTGACAGGAGAGGTTACGAGAGAACCGTGTATAACCCATTCACGGCTCTCCATTTTTATTAAAAAATTGCATGCCAATTTTTACTTTCTTTTTCTTCTTCCGCGGTCTTCTTTGACAGCCAAAAAACATGTGTTTTTTTTTCTTTTCAAATATATATAGATTCCATATGTCGAAAAGACTCCACGTCAATATCCATAAGTCGAATTTAAAATTTTGATTAAAAGAAAGAAATCTATGCCATTTTATCCGTTCATCTGACGGTGAAATTAATATTTTTTTAATATGCATAAAATAATAATGATGAAAGATGGAATTGAAACACGGAGTAGATTTGGAGGGGAATCTAGTTAGAGAAAAAGATGCAACTCATCCATATCACGCCCACAAGTAGAAAAGAAAATTTGGTAACGTCACTCTCCTGTCTTCTCTTTCTCTCACAACCTATAAAAAAAGAAAAAAAAAAGCTACTTGACTTGAGTGTGTTGTCTTCACGCGTATAACAGGAGCGCGTGGAAGCGTGTTTATGACATATCGTTCAGTTCATCAGATCGGACCCACAAGATTGAAGGCTAAGAAGTTTCCCTCTGTCGAAGGTACAGATTTGATAGTTAAGTTTTAAGGTGGGGCCTATGCCACTAAACTAAATGCCCTTCATGTTGGACACGTATTGATTGTAGTAATCCTTCACATAACATGTACACGTGTCTTAGAGAGGTTTCTGATTTTGTTGTTGTGTATTAGTGAGTGTCACAAAGGAAAAGGCATTCTCTTTTTCCAAAGACAGATACTATGTTTAGTTGCTTAATTATGTTTCTATTTTTTTTTTAATTCATTAAAGGTTTTTTTTATATCCTGAAATAGTATTACAGGGTATATAATAGGAGGAGGTAATCTTTCTCTTAATTCACTAAATTGATAAAAAAAATTATAGTTGAGAAAATTCAAACATAAATATAGCCGGTTTAGGATTAAAGTTTAATTATTAATTTTTTTATTGTTTGGATATGAAAATAGCCCACCAATTATATTATTTTTTTGGGAACTAATAATATTTATAATTTGGTTATTTTTGTTCCTTTTTTATTAATTTAAATTAAGCAAGGGAACTAGAGAGATAATCTCAACACTGCCCACCATACAACAAACAACAAAGATGTTCCCATGTCTTCCCCAAAAGTGGAAACAAATCATGTAATTAATTAATTAATTAATCAATTAATTGATAACAACAAGAACACAAAATAAAAATAATATATGTATAAAAAAAAACATATGCATGCATGTTCGGATGTTTCCTATGTCTAACATATGCTTTGTTTGGTTCTTACAAAAAAATAATTATACTACCATTGTTTTATGGTCTCATTTTCCACTATAAACCATGCTTTCCAATAATAGTATAAAACCTATATATCCAAACAGTCTCATTGCCTTCTTTAAATAACCTCACCACCACAGTCTCATTGTCACAAGAAGCTTGAACAAGATTGAGTTGGAAGCACGCCACCTTCACGTGATCGTGAAGCCCACTTCTAATTTCATTTAGCACCACGTGTTATATGGTCCACGCATCATCACAATTCGATTTTAAACCAAAATTTAATCGAAAACGAATCGGTTAAAACGACACTAAATCATAGTCAATAGTTCTGATTCTAAGCCGTAATCGAAACGGTTCTTCATTTTTTAGAATCAAAACCGATAATTTTAATTTAAAATTGGTAATTCTAGTTTAAAACTGTAAAAACATATTCTTGAAGAAATTTCTGACCTTTTTTTTGTTTTATTATAATTTTTTAAAGTAACTTCTTATCAAATTGGTTTAATTTTTTTCAATAGTAATATTTATTATTATTTATCCAAGCTAGAAACCTACAAAAGCATTTTAAAAAATTTTAAATATATTATTTAATTTCGGTCACAACCGAAACAAAATCGAATTAGAATGCGTCTTAGAAACTGCTTAAAAGTGGTTTAATTTCGGTTTCATCTTTTTTAAAAATCGAAATTGATAAATTTGAAATCGAAACCGATAGTTCTGAAATTGTAGTCATGCCTAATGTGGTCTAAACCCTTAATTAATTACATTCTTGTCAAGGGGAATCCTGTCTTTTTGGTGATTTGATAGTACATAGATAATGGGTCAATTTGATGATTTGCTTGCTTGCTAATGGCAAAGAATTATATATATGTGAACAAATCTTCACCTACCACACACACATTGAGTGGTTCTTCTTCTTGTATTAGCATGATTTCAATGTAGCTAGAAGTATAGGATGGGGGAGCTCTAGCATATAGAGTTCTAAAATATCTTTATCTCAAAGAGGTCCCCGTTTTAGGGTTCATTGCATTGTCAAGGGAAAACAAATTTGTGGATTCATAAATTTAGATTCTATAACTCAAATAATAACCAAAAATATCTATGAGTGGATGTCAATAACAAAACTTTTTCTTTCAATTAAAATGGAATCTAAATGTTTTATTTTATTAATTAAAGTTTAACCCTATAGAGATAAATATTTATAAATTTATTAGGTTGAAGTGGAGAAGTATATTCTTAAAATTGAACTTAGCCTTGCATTCAGGATAAGACTTGAAAATACAATTTTATTTTTGATACATAGAAATCCCAATAGACCGAGAGAATATATAGGCTACACAGTATGGATAACTCTCTCCTTTGAGTAACATTTACCAAATTAGTGATAACTTTTATTGTGGAAAGAACTCGAACTCGAAACTTCTAACTCTCAACATCTTATACAAGATGCAAAAAGACAAATTATGACCACATCTAGTTAGCAAGACTTGAAAAAAAAAGAATAAAACTATATTCAATATA